TAAGCCTTAAGATCTATCCCAATTTGCAGTTTTCCTCCTCAAATTAAGGTAGGATGGGGAGGAGAACAACGAATTGGGATAAATCTTAGGGCTTAAATTCATTTATTTATGCTCAAATTGGAATATTAAGTTGAAAATAGCGAAAATACCCTTAAAATTTTTAGATTTCGGGATGTCTTAAATTGATGGGTGACCGACGTGATGAATTTTGGTACTAAAACAATAGTCATGGATTAAAATTGGTACTAAAACAATAGTCGTGGATGAAAATTGGTAGGAATTAAACATGTGGACTAAAACCGTCATTTTGCTAATACTCGTGGGACCAAAATTGGTATTTGCTCATGAATAAAGAGATGCCAATATTAAAATTACTGAATTGTCTATTTATTTAACAACAAATGGACGGAATAACAAATGTGGGACTAAATTGAGTAGAAATACAAAAGTCTGGGACAAAATTGAGTAAAAACACAAAACTCTGGGACTACATTAAGTCACCAAAATCGTTTAAGACAAAATTGAGAAAAACCACTATAATCGATTAGTCGTAGACGATTTTGAGTATTAACTCTATACATGCATGTACCATCAACTTTGTTCTGAATGTTAATCATGTACCATTCATTTTTTTCAATAATTCATGTTTATTCTCTTCAAAAAAAAAAAAAAAAAATTCATGTTTAAAAAAAAAAGTGAAAACAACAATATCTGATCTAATGCAGAATTTTAAATGTGAATATTTATTATATGTACTATGGGTGGATGAAATTTTTTTCTATCACTTTTAATACACTGAAAAGCGGGTTATATATAACTTTCAAATCTAACTAAATAAAATAAAATAAAATAAAATAATAATAATAATAATAATAATAATAATAATAATAATAATAATAATAATGAAATGGTACCTTCTAACTAAATAAAACCCCTCTAATAATGAAGTTTTTTTTTTTTTTTTTTTTTTTTTTTTTTTTTTTTTTTTTTAAATTGACAAAATTATGCAATTACGTCCTACCATTATATATTCAGTAAGTTACTATCGGAACAGTAGTGACTAGACTAACGTGCAAGATCTTGGTGCTTATGTGGATTTTAAGTTTATAATTTTTATTTAAAAAAACCAAGCCTAAATTGTTAAATTTTTTAAAATAAGCAATGACCGGTGGTTTTTTTTTTTTTTTAATTTACAATTTTAAAAATAAAAAATTGTACACTTAAGTTCCACATAAGCATTAGGACTCAACGGTAACGTACTAAATAAGTAATGCCATAACTTAATTTCACTGGTTTAAATGACCTTATTGGAGTTTTCCCCCTTCTTTGAGTTAGGAGACCTAATCCTATAATTCACTGGACTTAAGGGTCAATTTGATACATTTTTATGACAATTATAGTTTTTTTTTTTTTTAAATGTACATACATCTATTTCTTTATTCTCTGATGTAGCAAGTAATGATAAAGTATTCTTTTATCATGTGAGTCTAAAAAAAGTGCCTATGTTATGAGTTTATTAAGTATGAGAATGAAAACTAGAAATAGAAATTGAAAGTCTACGTCTGTGTGCGTGTAGGGGATGATCAAATGATGAAAACCGGTTATTCTGTGCAAACGTGTGAATTGCATAACCAGGTATTACAATGCAAGTTGCACAATCGTAAGTTCAAATTAATTACGAAAATACCAATGCATTTTAAAAAAAAATACTTTATAATGTGTTTTGATAGAAGTTTTTAATATGCACAATAAGTCATTACAAGTTGCACCACAAAGTAGATAGTTCGCACAAGAAGACCGATTCTCATTTGATCATGATTCTCTCTCTCTCTCTCTCTCTCTCTCTCTCTCTCTCTCTATATATATATATATATATATATATATATATATATATATATATATATATATATATATATATATATATATATATATATATATATGAAAACGTTCCAATGCGGCGATGTCCTTAGGTGCGGCGGAATTTCAGAATACACCAACAGTGTTAATAACATGCACCAACAGTGTAAGGGAAACACACCACAATGAAATGCAAAAAAATTTCAAAAAATACACAACAGACCCAAAAAATACACCATATAACTCACCACACCTCAATGGTGTATTTCCGAACAATGTATTGTGTTTTTACTCACACCTAATGGTGTGTTTTTGGTGATGTGTACCAGGGCCGTATTTTAAGTTTTTGTGGCCCTGTTCTAGTAAATAAATGTGGCCCTACAAAATTACAATTTTGAAAACCAATACATGCAAGTTTCGAACCTTTGACCTCCAAGTTAAAATACAATAAATACACATTCTCACCATCTCTTCACAAAATTAAACCTTTTAAATTTAATTGAAAACTTTTAATTTTTATTTTTAAACTATGTAAAAATTAAATACTGGACCTCTAAAATTTGGGGCCCCTCTAAAATTTGGGGCTCTGTGCGGTCGCCCAGCTTGCACAGTCTAAAATCCGGCCCTGATGTGTACCTAATTTCTATGTATTTTTGTGGTGCATTTTCCTAACGTTGATGGTGTATATTTGTTGAACTATTGGTAACGCCGCACCGCAACACCTAAGGACATTGCCACACTTGAACCGTGTGTGTGTGATCTCAGTCGGGATTGATCATAGGCATCCATCAAGGTTCATAATGATGGAGAGTTTTACTAAAATAAATATGAAATTAATTTTATAATTATTGACTTATTGTAAAATTTTAAGTTTTCAATATTTATAAAAACAACTCATATTTTTCCAATTTATTTTATAACAAACTTAATCATTGATATATATATATATATATATATATAGGGATGCACTCAGGTGCGAATAAGTGCCCAGGAAGGAATATGCGAACGAATCAGCGCGTGACACGTGTCCAAATCTAATAATTAAAAAAAAATGCGGTGGCATTTTCGTAAATAATTGAACATCAAAGTGCAAGTAAAATTACTTACAAGTGCACCTACTTTCACCTATAAGTGCATGTAATTTTGCCTTGTTAGCATTCACTTCCCGCAAACATTCATGCACCTGGGTGTGCTTATAACTATAGGTGCAACTATTTATAACTATAGGTGCAACTATTTATTACTATAGATGCAACTATTTATAACTATTGGTGCACCTACTTTCACCTATAAGTGTATGTAATTTTGCCTTGTTAACATTCATTGATATGAGTTCAGCGCGTAGTAATACCCCTGAAAACCACCCGCAAACATTCATGCACCTAGTTGCAACTACTTATAACTATGTGTGCAACTACTTAGAACTATAGGTGCAACTACTTATAACTATAGGTGCACTTAGTATTGATACTCGGTGTAAAGTTTTACTTGCACCTATAATACATTTTACATGCACTTGTAATACATTTTACTTGCACTTCGATGTTCAATTATTTAAGAAAATGCCACCGTGCTTTTAAAAAAAAAATCAGTGTTTCTCATCTATTAGATCTGGACACGTGGACGGACAGAATCCATTCCTATTTCGCGCCTGGGCGAAGCATTCACACCTGAATGCGATTATATATATATATATATATATATATATATATTATCCAAATGAATGAATTAAATCCGTTCTTACTTTTGCATCATTAATATTGCACATCATGTACTATAGAATTTTTGTTTTTCAAAGAGAAAAATGATTAAACCCTCTGACTAACTTTTCCAATAAATAAAAATAAAAAAGAGATCATATTATGACAATACAGATCTCACAATTTAATGAACAATGCATAGAAAGACAATGTACCATACTGGCTCACTTTTAACCATTCTGATGAAAACAGCATCTTAAATGAATTGAAGTCTCTTGTATCTACACCAAGTTTTTGTTCTTTTCTGCTCATAGAAACACTACTCAACAAATAATTGAAGTCACCCACAGCACCACACTTATCTGTCCCCTATTTTCAAGCGCCTATTCTTAGGAAAAAAAAAAAGAAAAAAAATAGCAAAGTTCTCCCCCCAAAATTATATTTTAGATAACATATTTTCTAGTTTACCAACTGACACGAATATTGAATTATGCCTTGATGGCGTACATAACTTAGGAGATTTAATTCCACCAGAGGTCCATTATTTTTTATGACAATTTTAAATTTAATTTCAGACTATATTTTTGACATTTAACATCTTAAAATATTATTTTTTGAACACTTTTAATTCTTCTCATGACTTTTCTTACTTTTAGTAAAGGCATTTTTGTCTATTCATATTTTTCTTTTGTTATTTTTCCGGTTTCAACCGGATTAATTGGTTTAGGATTTTACTAAAAACCGGTTGAAAAATATGGTTACTAAAAATCAGAGGTTACCGAAAGTTTTAAACCAATTCATTTAAATTGGTTGAAATTGTGAAATTAACAAAATAAAAATATGAAAAGACCAAAATGCCCTTATTAAAAGTAGGAAAAGTCATGAGAAGGAATAAAAGTATCCAAAAAATAATAGTCTAGCTAGGATGTTAAATGACAAACGATAGTCTGGGATTGCATTTAGAATTGCTAACAAAGACAAGGGACCTCTGGTGGAATTAACTCTAATTTAGGAATTATGCACTATGTAATGTGTAGAGTAGATACTATGAAAATGGCTAGACAAAGTTGATTTTATTAATATCCAGTCTTAGTACGTATACTGGTTACAAGCAATTGAGGTTGGAACTTGGAACACTCTTCTAAGGTTGGAAAGTATACTAAAGTTTTGTTTTACAAAAAGTCTCTCCCAAGACGTTAGTACGTGCCTAGCAAGCTTTTATAATGCTAGAAGCTAGATTTCTCTACAATTACATGCATGATGCATGCATGGAGTTAATTGGTTTGTTATGCATTCATAGTTATAGTTGTGACTATTAGGACTATATTATTAGTATTAGACTAGAACTCTATTTCGTGCCTATATATTGTATTCTTAGACTTTGATATTCAATACAACACAATCTATATTCTCATCTGGTATCAGTTATCCAGGTTTTCTCTCATGGAAACCCTCGGTGTTAATGATGACGGCTCTGTTCTTGGATCTTCTGAGCGGACCGTTACCGAGGTTCCTTCGATGCCCACTGGTAATAGCCTTTCGTCGGCACATCACTTTGTCTCCTTGAAGTTAACCTCCCGGAATGATCTATTCTGGAGGACGCAGATGCTCCCGTTCCTCGAGGGCCAAGGACTCCTTGGTTTTATTGACGGCACTGTGCCGTTCCCGACGGCTTCACCGGCGACTTCTTCGACCGTCTACAGCGACGCGGCGGCGGCTTCGGATCTCTCGGCGCGAAAGATCTCGTGGCGACGACAGGATAAGGCAATACTGTCAATGATTATCTCATCCTTGTCCGAGGAAACCCTCCGTCTCGCCGTCGGCCGTGGAACTTCCCGACAACTTTGGCAGGTCATCGAGCAAACCCTCGGCTCGTCGACTCGGTCTCGCGCTTTACCGCTGCTCGGCGAGTTGCAGGTGTAACACCCCGAAATTTTAAAACTTTTGAAACTTATATAATAAAGGTAGAATCTCATTAAATCCCAAAACATGATATAAAGAGTACGGGGTGCTATGCCACACCTGAGCTAGAGAACTCAGGTGCACAGGCTAACTAACTAATATCCTTAATAATGTAAATGCATAAGTGTGGCACGCAGGCCGAAGAGGAAACTATCTACTTCTACGCTCCAAGACTCTAGCGCGCTCCAGTGTCTACTCCTCTGTGCCTAAAAGCCAAATATATCTGTTCAGCGAGAGATGCTGGTAACCCACTCCAACGCGTTGAAATACAATACATATAGGCATATATATAGATATAAGAAAAACCATTTCGAAGCATGAAGATATATCCTAAGAGACTCTAGCTTTCAAAACAGGGAATAAACTCGACAGATAGGGATAAACACAGTCAACAGTAACATAATTTACAAGCACAGGGAACGGACTCGACAGATAGAGATAAGCACAACCAATAGTCATAACCAAGCATATACGGTTTTCTAGCATGTATCCTATGGTCACACTTTCATAACATTCGTAATCATCAAACCATCCATATCTCATCACATAGTACACTTTGTTGGTGTCACAGGACCAATCGCATGCCCATACATGAGGGTCAGCGCATATAGCTCTGACACGGCCCCGCAGCACCCTGCCCCGTATCGCAACACGGAGGGGTCGATCGCAACCGACCGATGAACCGCATCTCATCATAATGTTTGATCGCAATCAAACAGTGGACCGCAGCCCAAGAGTAGTCATCTGACCGCAGCCAGGAATATGAACCGCAGCTCATGTAAAACGTTTGATCGCAACCAAACGGTGGACCGCAGCCCGAGAGTGTAAATCTGACCGCAGCCAGCTTCTGAACCGCAGCTCAGGAATAACCAATTTGATCGCAACCAAATTGGGGTATCATGCACACATAGTGACATAACACATAGCAAACACATGCAACCCACATTGACACATTGGGAAGGGGGAGAAATCGTATAACGAAACCTATGCGTGATCATCCACATACTAAGAATAATCCTAAGGGGTTCATACTTCTTACACCTTAGGCCAATGGGATACCAATTCAACTAGCATGTAATATATAAGACTTATTAAACCTACGAATGGTACCCGAACATCAAACTAGACATAGGCACGATAGACGGAGTCCGTTGGGACACCACGGGGGTCGGGGGAACATCAAACGGGGAAGCCGGGATCCCAAAGTGGGAGAATTTCCAGCGGGTAGCTGGTGGGTGAGGGGTCACCCGCCGGCTGCCCGCCGGTGGCAAACTTCCGGGTAGTCGCTTGCCCGCTGCCGGCGACGTCCATCCTGGCCGCGGGTAGGTGGCGGGTCCCCTACCCCCACCTACCCCCCACTGACTCTTTTTCACCAATAACGCCCCGGGAACCTTTGTGGAACCCGAAACCATGCTTAGACACTTTAAAACGCAATTGATGGAAACACGTAAACAATTAACGGATCAAAAGCGAGAAACATACGGCACATATCCTATCATGCTTTCTAAACATAATTAACACCCCAAACATGCGAATTCCCACCCAATACATCAAGAATAACATCATACGAGTTCCACGTTACATCCTAGGGCTCTAATCACAATTAAATCATCAAGAACGTAACCCATCTTTTAATATCAAGAAATATCCAGATTCATCAAGAACATCACACAATCATCAAGAAACCCTTATCATCATCAAGAATATCAAGATAAAACCATATCACCAATTATCAAGATCATATCATAACAATTCATCAAGACACAAGAATATAGGAGGATGCCTAAGAGGGAGATCATAGCTAGGAAAATAGGTTTTGTTGAGACATGGGTTACCTCTTAGCCTTAATTAATTTCCTTGGCTATGAAGGATCTTTCTTTAAGTCTTTCTTCTTTCTTGATTTCTCCTAGGGGAATTCTTGGAGCTCCTTGTGTGGTGAGAGATTATTGTGGTGGGGGTTCTAGGTGCCTCCTATGTTCCCCTATTTATATATTTAAGAGTCCTAATTAGGGCCCAAATACTATAGGCTTGCTAACTCTATTCCTTTTAGGACTAGGGGTTGGGTTTAGAGATGAGGGCCCACGGACTATGGTGGACCTTTTCCTAATTAATTATTGTAATTTAATTCTTTCTTTGGGTAATTGGTTAAGTGATTAATTGGTTTTAGGGATCGTAACACTGGGTGTTACACTCTCCCCCCCTTAACGGGAAGCTTCGTCCCCGAAGCTTGGTCTTGCCGAGCGACTTCCTCTTGGTTACCTGGTGTGAAGAGTTTGGGGTAGCGTTCCTTCATCGTGTCCTTGAGTTCCCATGTTGCTTCTTCGGTCCCATGGTTGGTCCAGAGGACTTTTACCATTTCTATGGCTCGACGACGGGTAGTTCTTGTCTTGGTGTCCAGGATTCTTACGGGTCTTTCTACGTATGCTAGTGACTCGTCGAGGTCCACGACCTCGGGTTGTAGCACGTGGCTTGGGTCGTGCACGTATTTCTTTAGCTGGGATATGTGGAATACGTTGTGTACTCGTTCTAGTTCAATGGGTAGAGCGAGGCGGTAGGCCAGATTCCCGACTCTTTCGACGATTCCATAGGGGCCGATAAATCGAGGGCTGAGTTTTCCTTTTCTTCCAAATCTCATTACCCCTCGCGTGAGTGAGATTCTCAACCAGACCTTGTCCCCGGGTTGAATTCGGCTTGTTTTCTCTTTAGGTCGGCGTAGGATTTCTGGCGGTCCTGGGCAGCCTTCATCCTTTCTTGGATGTGTTTGACCTTGGTTATGGTGTCTTGTAGGTATTGGGGCCCTAGTGTCACCGAGTCGACCATGTCCTCCCAACATAGGGGGGTTCTACATTTTTGTTCGTATAGGGCTTCGTAGGGTGCCATACGAATGCTTGCGTGGTAGCTGTTGTTGTACGAGAATTCAATAAGGTCTAGGTGTTCTTCCCATGTCCCTTGAAAGTCTAACACACAGGCTCTTAGCATGTGTTTGAGAGTCTGAATGGTTCTCTCGGTTTGGCCGTCGGTGGTGGGGTGGAATGCAGTGCTTAGTTTTAATTGTGTCCCCAAGGCCGATTGCAAGTGATTTCCAGAATTGTGAGAGGAACCTGGAGTCTCTATCAGACACAATGTTTCGGGGAATTCCGTGGTATTTCACCACTCGGTTTAGGTAGGCTTAGGCCAGTTGTGTCATCGTCCATGTTTCCTTCATGGCAATGAATCGCGCCGTTTTGGTTAGTCGGTCCACTATGACCCAGATTTTATCCTTGCCGGTTTTTGTTGGGGGTAACCCTCCAACGAAGTCCATGGATATGGAATCCCACTTTCCTTGTGGTATCTCAAGGGGTTGTACGAGCCCCTTGGGTTTGCATCGTTCGGCCTTCACCCTTTGGCAGTTCAGGCATTTGGCCACGAAATCCGCGACTTCCTTTTTCATGTTGGGCCACCAAAACGACCTCTTCACCTCTTGGTATAGTTTGTCACCCCCCTGGGTGAACCGAGTATGGGGTGTTGTGTCCTTTCTCCAAGATTTGTTGTTTTAAGTGGGGATGCGTTGTGGGCACGGACCACCTACCTTGGTAGCGGAGACTGCCATCTTCGTGTATTTCGAAGGGTCCTTCTTTCCCTTGGGTTAGGTCGAGGCAGATTTTATCTAGTTCCGGATCCTGCTGTTGTCCTATTTTGATTTCTTCGAAGAGTGTGGGTATGATTTGTGTGTTGAATAGGTGGATCTCGGGGTGGGTTTGATTTTGCTCTATTATTTCCAAGTTCAGCTTCTGCAAGTCTTTGTACAGCTGGTCGGGTAGGATCCAGGTGGCGTTGAGGGAGTGGTTAGCCTTCCTGCTTAGGGCGTCTGCTACAATGTTAGCTTTTCCCTCGTGGTACTGGATGTCTAGGTCGTAGTCTTTTATGAGTTCTAGCCACCTTCGTTGTCTCATGTTTAGGTCTTTCTGGGTGAAGATCTACTTTAGGCTTTTATGGTCTGTGTAAATCTTGCATTGCACTCCGTATAGGTAGTGCCTCCAAATTTTCAGTGCGAATACGATAGCGGCTAGCTCGAGGTCATGGGTGGGGTAATTTTCTTCGTGGGTTTTGAGTTGCCTAGATGCGTATGCTATTACCTTGCCGTTTTGCATTAGCACGCACCCCAACCCCTTTTTGGACGCGTCACTGAAGACCTCGAACCCTTCCACCCCGGAGGGGATGGCTAGTACGGGTGCCGTGGTTAGTTTATCCTTCAATTCCTGAAAGGCCGTGATGCAGTTGTCGTCCCATCGGAAGGGGGTCTTCTTTTTCATGAGTTTGATGAGAGGTTGAGCTATTTTAGTAAAGTCGAGTACAAACCTCCTGTAGTAACCAGCCAAGCCTAGGAAGCTTCGGACCTCTGACAGTGAGCTTGGTGTGGTCCATTCCTTAACGGCATGGACCTTGGCGGGGTCCACCTTAATTCCCTCTTTGGTTATCACGTGGCCCAGGAAGGCCACACTGTCTTTCCAGAATTCGAATTTGGAGAACTTGGCGTATAGTTGGTGTTCTCTTAGAGTTTGCAAGGTTATGCGGAGGTGCCTTTCATGTTCTTCCTTGTTTCGGGAGTAGACTAGGATGTTGTCAATGAATACAATGACGAAGTCATCCAGGTGGGGTCGGAATACTCGGTTCATGAGGTCCATGAATATGGCGGGTGCGTTGGTGAGTCCGAAGGGAATTACTGTAAATTCGTAGTGGCCGTAGTGTGTCCGGAAGGCCGTTTTCTGAATGTCTGGTTTGGCCACTTGTATTTGGTGATATCCGGATCTTAGGTCAATTTTCGAGAACACCCCTGCCCCTTTAAGCTGATCGAACAAGTCATCGATTCGGGGAAGGGGGTACCTATTCTTTATTGTGACTTGATTGAGTTCCCTGTAGTCAATGCACAGGCGCATGCTCCCATCTTTCTTTTTAACGAATAGTATTGGTGCTCCCCATGG